AACTTGTTGTGTAATGTTTATGTCCCATGGCCGATGAGCACCAATACGTTTTATCTATAATCTCTCTTCATATGACAAGGATTAAAAAGGATTTGCCAGTAGATTGTCGACTTGATTCGCGATGATGATGACTGCTAGCTTGCTAGCTAAGATTTTGAAAGTATGACGTTGAAATTATCAGTCCAATCAAAGCTACTGTAGATATAACGTGATTTGACGTCATTTTATCTGTGACCAATGACCTTGAGCCTTCTTGGACGGGCACTTCTAATGTAACTCTATGGCAGCACCCAAGGGGCTTGAATTTTTGAGCTTTACCCTTATATTTTACTGTTGACATAGTGCCCCCATGAGTGACAGAACACTGAGCCAATCACGGCGCAAGTAGAGAACATTACCAACCACTACGCTCCGTATTTTCCACTGGCGTGCCCCACTACCACAGAAAGCACTGAGCTAGGCTAAAACACCTGCATTTTGGAGGTGTCTTACTCAAGAAAGGAAGAAAGAGACCAAGTTTGTATGCGGCTTTATTAACTCAATGATTTATAAAAAATGTTTTACATTGTTTGCAAACTGATATGTGACACGTATTAATGCCAAAATAACAAAACAGGCAACAACAACAACAAAATAATAATATACAGTACCAGTCAAAAGTTTGGACACACCTACTCAATATACAGTACAGTCAAAATATACAGTACACACCTACTCATTCAAGGGTTTTTCTTTATTTTTACTATTTTCTACATTGTGGAATAATAGTGAAGACATCAAAACTATGAAATAACACATATGGACTCATGTAGTAACCAAAAAAGTGTTAAACAAATCAAAATATATTTTTATATTTGAGATTCTTCAAATAGCCACCCTTTGCCTTGATGACAGCTTTGCACACTCTTGGCATTCTCTCAACCAGCTTCACGAGGAATGCTTTTCCAACAGTCTTGAAGGAGTTCCCACATATGCTGAGCACTTGTTGGCTGCTTTTCGTTCGCTCTGCGGTCCAACTCATCCCAAAACCATCTCAATTGTGTTGAGGTCGGGTGATTGTGGAGGCCAGGTCATCTGATGCAGCACTCCATCCCTCTCCTTCTTGTTCAAATTGCCCTTACACAGCCTGGAGGTGTGTTTTGGGTCATTGTGCTGTTGAAAAACAAATGATAGTCCCACTAAGCGCAAACCAGATGGGATGGCGTATTGCTGCAGAATGCTGTGGTAGCCATGCTGGTTAAGTGTGCATTGAATTCTAAATAAATCACAGACAGTGTCACCAGCAAAGCATCCCCACACCATCACACCTCCTCCTCCATGCTTCACGGTGGGAACCACACATTCGGAGATCATCCGTTCACCTACTCTGCATCTCACAAAGATACGGCAGTTGAAACCAAAAATCTCAAATTTGGACTCATCAGACCAAAGGACAGATTTCCACCGGTCTAATGTCCATTGCTCATGTTTCTTGGCCCAAGCAAGTCTCTTCTTCTTATTGGTGTCATTTAGTAGTGGTTTCTTTGCAGCAATTCGACCATGAAAGCCTGATTCACACAGTCCCCTCTGAACAGTTGATGTTGAAATATGTCTGTTACTTGAACTCAGTGAAGCATTTATTTGGGCTGCAATTTCTGAGGCTGGTAACTCTAATGAACTTATCCTCTGCAGTAGAGGTAACTCTGGGTCTTCCTTTCCTGTGGCGGTTCTCATGAGAGCCAGTTTCATCAAAATGCTTGATGGTTTTTGCGACTTCACTTGAAGAAACTTTCAAAGTTCTTGAGATGTTACGTACTGACTGACCTTCATGTCTTAAAGTAATGATGGACTGTCGTTTCACTTTGCTTATTTGAGCTGTTCTTGCCATAATATGGACTTGGTCTTTTACCAAATAGGGCTATCTTCTGCTGTGACGAGTACTGAGGATACGAAGAGGCAGGACGCAGACGCAGGAATCAACAATGTAAAGGTTTACTTAACACTGAGCAAGAGAACAACAAAGCGCGAGAACACGACATGACACTAACAATCACACACAACACAACACTGAACAGTCCAGGGCTATATAGGGGTGGTGATGAGATGATGAGGTGCAGGTGCGCTGGAGGTGATTAGGGTGCGTTGGGTTTCCATTCCGGTGTTGCCGAGGTGGTGCGCTCAGACCGGTGGCTCAGTAGACCGGCGAATCAGAGCTGGTTGAGAGAATGCCAAGAGTGTGCAAAGCTGTCATCAAGGCAAAGGATGGCTATTGGAAGAATCTCAAATGTAAAATATATTTTGATTTGTTTAACACTTTTTTGGTTACTACATGATTCCATATGTGTTATTTCATAGTTTTGATGTCTTCACTATTATTCTACAATGTAGAAAATAGTACAAATAAAGAAAAAAAAACCTTGAATGAGTAGGTGTTCTAAAACTTTTGACCGGTAGTGTATGTAATGGGGAATTGATACAAAAAAAACGATCAAATGGCAAACAATTGACACAATGAAATAATGAATGTGCAAGAATTGGCGGGAGACAGCTGAGCGCATTCTGGAGAGGGACGTGCCATATCTTCGCCTCACATTCCTTTCCTCCTTCTTGTCTCAACATTTTTAAATTATACTCAAGACACATTCTCTTCACACATATTCTCATTAAAGTCCTGTACAGCACTTCAGTACTCCCTTTTCGTTTACAAAGCTCTTCTATGCAAGCTTCCGACTTACCTAACTTTGTTGTAAAAAGTACAGAAACATGAGATATCAAACCTGTTCACAGGGTTGGTTAACTCTTGAGATTCCTCCGATCTCCATCGAACTAGGTAAAACTGCTTTTAATTTTAATGCTTACATTTGGATTCCCTGGTGCCACTAGGGCAGTTTAAAACGCTGATGATAAATGAGTTCACCTAGGTGTGCAATTGTTTTGATTGATTGACTTTAATAATTTGTTTACATGTTTGTGATGTTCTATGTAATGTACTTGTTATTGTGTCTTGTTATTGTCTTGTTATTGTGTCTTGTTATTGTGTCTTGTAGCTCAGTTAGTAGAGCATGACGCTTGCAATGCCAGGGTTGTGGGTTCGTTTCCCACGGGGGGCCAGTATGAAAGATGTATGCACTCACTAACTGTAAGTCGCTCTGGATAAGAGCGTCTGCTAAAATGACTAAAATGTAAATGTAGTTTTATATTTTATTTTATGTCCTCAGGGCACCATCGAAAATGAGATCCTGGTCTCCCCGTGTAGCTCAGTTGGTAGAGCATGGTGCTTGCAACGCCAGGGTTGTGGGTTCGATTCCCACGGGGGGCCAGTATGAAAAAATAAATAATGTATGCACTCACTAATTGTAAATCGCTCTGGATTAGAGGGTCTGCTAAATGACTAAAATGTAAATGTCTCAATTGGCTCCCCTGATTTTATAAAAGTTAATAAACACATATTTGAGATGGTTTTCACCTGACAGCCACAACTCAATAACCAGCTAGGCCGATCACCACATGTTGTCCAAGTTGTAAACTTCCCAATAACCAGCTAGGCCGATCACCACATGTTGTCCAAGTTGTAAACTTCCCAATAACCAGCTAGGCCGATCACCACATGTTGTCCAAGTTGTAAACTTCCCAATAACCAGCTAGGCCTATCACCACATGTTGTCCAAGTTGTGGGCTTCCCAATAACCAGCTAGGCCTATCACCACATGTTGTCCAAGTTGTGGGCTTCCCAATATAGGCTTAGGCCTGCCCTTGTGATTTGAAACAATCCACAGCTATTTTTAAAAAGAAGCTAATGATCCTCTGTGGCTAAGTCATGCTCTCTGGTGAAGCAGAATATATGCTAAAGTATTTTGAATTATTTTATTTAGACAGGAGTAATTATATCATTTTGGCAAAACATCAATTTACTTTAGTGTTAGTTAGTATCTGAACAGTGTACTGTGCACCCGCAAACTTTCCTTTCCAATTCGGAAGAGTGGGACATTATATAATTCATTTTACCAACACAAAAAGATCCCACCTTGTCTATCGTATATATTTTTTGTCGACATTTTCTGTTTCCCATCAGGCCAGTCATGACATTTATTATCCAACGTAACTTTACACGCGTAAAAAGGTTGGATGGAAGCCTGGTTATTTTCAATATTTTATTTGGACAGGCAGCCCATAACGCCGGCCCTGCTTCAATGGGGTAGAGACGTCCCAAGGATCCAGGATAGCAAGGACCGTGAGAGGTGGTCCTCTGCATTCAATTGGTAGAGCATGGCGCTTGTAACGCCAGGGTAGTGGGTTCGATCCCCGGGACCACCCATACGTAAAATATGTATGCACACATGACTGTAAGTCGCTTTGGATAAAAGCGTCTGATATATGGCATATTATTATCTCAGAGGACTTGGAGCCCTTTTTACCACAGCTGAATGAAGCCATTTTTATTATTTTCTTCATTAATAAAATCCTGCTGTTTTGCGGTCAATTCCAGTCATGAGATTGAACATGATTTCTAAGTCAGAAGTGTTTATTATTATTATTATTATTATTATTATTATTATTAAACTCACTTCATTATCTTTCATTCTATTTTATTATTTCATTATAGGCCTGATTTACTATATGCCTGATTTTTTATTGGCCTGATTTACTTTAGGCAAACGAAATTATGACTGCAAGATAGAATAAAACATTTTGTTTTATTTTAACTAGGCAAGTCAGTTAAGAACAATTTCTTATTTACAATAACGGCCTACACCGGCCAAACCCGGACGACGCTGGGCCAATTGTCTGTAGTGAGATGCAGTGCCTTAGACCGCTGCGCCACTCGGGAGCCCAAGTGTAAAGTACGTTGGATAATAAATGTCATGACTGGCCCGATGGGAAACAGAAAATGTCGACATCACTGAGAAGAGACAGCTGAGAAGAGGCATCACCGAGAAGAGACGCACCCAACATGATTTTGACTTTTATTTTGAAATCCCAGAACATCGAACTCGGAAGTGAATATTACCCTCACGCATGCGCACACATCCAACCTGGGGACATGCGTTTTCAAGCACGAAAGCATTTTTCTAGCTACTCTATATAGCTAGTTAAAATAATATTTCTGTCAGCTCATGTTTTTCACGTAAATTTCAACAGTTACCTTTTACTGTTTTGATTGTCTCCGGGGACAAGAGTCGGAATAATCTCAACAGAAAGACGTGAGAAAGTAACGTTTGATTGTTAGCTAGCTCCTGTTAGCTAGTTCAGGACAGCATGGGGCCCGTAATAGAACTCATTGCTGGAAGTTACGAGCAGATCGCCTTTGGTTACCGGGTGTCCACGGGAGAAGAGGTATGCTGCTTCAGTTTGATCCCTGATTCTCCTGTACATAAATGACAAACTATACTGTTTACCTTCGCTAACCGACTAGCGTTAGTTAGCAGGGTTGTGGAGTATGTAAAGGATGACAGCAAAACTAACCCGTTACATTACCAACAAACATTTGTAATTAGATTACAAATACTTTTTAAAAACGAAAGTATTACATCTAGGATTAATTTAAATTAAGTATGTTCGCGAAAACAATTATTTGACACCTTTCTGTTTTCTCAATGATATTCAAATCAGCGTTGAAGTCCGGAGTGGCGCAGTGGGCTAAGGCACTGTGTTAGTGGTCTAAGGCACTGTGTTAGTGGTCTAAGGCACTGTGTTAGTGGTCTAAGGCACTGTGTTAGTGGTCTAAGGCACTGTGCTAGTGGTCTAAGGCACTGTGTTAGTGGTCTAAGGCACTGTGTTAGTGGTCTAAGGCACTGTGTTAGTGGTCTAAGGCACTGTGTTAGTGGTCTAAGGCACTGTGTTAGTGGTCTAAGGCACTGTGTTAGTGGTCTAAGGCACTGTGTCAGTGGTCTAAGGCACTGTGTTAGTGGTCTAAGGCGCTGTGTCAGTGGTCTAAGGCACTGTGTTAGTGGGCTAAGGCACTGCGTGGTTCGAATCCAGGCTCTGTCTCAGCCGGCCGCGACCAGGAGACCCATGGGTCGGCGCTCAATTGGTCCAGCGTCGTCCAAGGTAGGGGAGGGTTTGGCCGGCAGGGATGTGGGTTCGTTTCCCACAGGGGGCCAGCATGAAAAAAAACAAAAAACTTTTGCATTCACTAACTGCATAAGTTCGTGGATAAGAGCGTCTGTTAAATGACTAAAATGTAAGTTTGTTCCACCTGAGCGAGTCTGACCACCAGTCAGAGACCACTATGATGACTCCACATGTGTTTGATGGATCGCGGGAAAAGAGAAGGAGTTTTGTTTTAGGCAACAGTCCAAGATATGTCTTCCAATGGTGCGACTGCTGTCGGCATCCAAACATTATCCAACTTCAATACAGGTTGGAGGTAAGTAAGGACGACCGCAGTGGTGTAGCCGTATCGCCTGTAGGCTATCACTTATTATTGATATCTACAGAGAGAATTAATGTGAATCACACTGCTGCTCTCTCATTTAACTATTTGCACCTTACGGATTGTGGATGTCTGTTCACTAATGTATATTTTGACCCCAGTAATGGTTGAATTGAAGAAGTTTAAGCTGCCGATCAATCGTTGTTTTTGCGACCAGTGGACAGCCAGTGAAGAATGCGCTCTGGCAACAGCTGCATAGTGCGGATCCCAGCCTATGGAATGAAGTTTGAGGGTTACTCCCTTCTAGACTCCTCTGTGGGGTTGTGATCCATACTGTCAAAAACCCGTTTAATTAAAGAAGACTGCGAGTGGGGCTTTTATTGCTCAATCTAATTCGTGCTGAATCCCCCCTCAAAAAATATCCATAGGCCGAAACTGACACATGATCAAACTCGCGCACTTTTGAAAGATTTAAAGGAGCAATCTGTAGTTGCTACATTGGACTTCTACATTAATGATATATACCCATTGATTCTTGAAGAATATAACTTATAAATGAGCTTAGTTAAACTGTCACACCCCATGAAAACCCAAAATATAAGCCATGAGAGCAGCATTTCTTTTTTCAACTTGAAGCAATTAGCCCAATCAGTCTCCATGACGACAAAATCCTAAACAACCGGAGTAGGGCATGCTAAGAACTCCTTCGTTTATTTAGGTTATACTGAGGTAAAACGGTTCGGTTAATCTATACTTCCATATTTCCAAGGACTGTTCTTGAAAATGAAGGGGTATTAAATGAATTGGAATGACTGGAAATTTGAGACTTTGGTTTTTAATGTATGTAGTAGAAAGCAATGGGTTAGAAGAAGCCTACATAACCAACCCATAACGTAAAACGCAACATCCATTTATGGCCAACTATGTCAACTCTAACATTGATTGATCCTGCAATAGTTGTTGTTCAATTGGTAATATTCATTTTTGACTTCTAATGCCTCTTAAGAGGAAAGTAATCAGATTACATTACTGAGTTTGGGGAATCCAAACGTTACATTACTGATTACAATTTTTACAGGTAATTAGTAACTGATTACATTTTAGAAAGGAATCTACCCCACCCTGCTAGCTAGCTATGATGGTGTTGGTGTGGTTGTAATCTACCCCACCCTGCTAGCTAGCTATGGTGGTGTTGGTGTGGTTGTAATCTACCCCACCCTGCTAGCTAGCTATGATGGTGTTGGTGTGGTTGTAATCTACCCCACCCTGCTAGCTAGCTATGATAGTGTTGGTGTGGTTGTAATCTACCCCACCCTGCTAGCTAGCTATGTTGGTGTGGTTGTAATCTACCCCACCCTGCTAGCTAGCTATGATGGTGTTGAGTTGGTGTGGTTGTAATCTACCCCACCCTGCTAGCTAGCTATGATGGTGTTGAGTTGGTGTGGTTGTAATCTACCCCACCCTGCTAGCTAGCTATGATAGTGTTGGTGTGGTTGTAATCTACCCCACCCTGCTAGCTAGCTATGTTGGTGTGGTTGTAATCTACCCCACCCTGCTAGCTAGCTATGATGGTGTGGTTGTAATCTACCCCACCCTGCTAGCTAGCTATGATAGTGTTGGTGTGGTTGTAATCTACCCCACCCTGCTAGCTAGCTATGATAGTGTTGGTGTGGTTGTAATCTACCCCACCCTGCTAGCTAGCTATGATGGTGTTGAGTTGGTGTGGTTGTAATCTACCCCACCCTGCTAGCTAGCTATGATAGTGTTGGTGTGGTTGTAATCTACCCCACCCTGCTAGCTAGCTATGATAGTGTTGGTGTGGTTGTAATCTACCCCACCCTGCTAGCTAGCTATGATGGTGTGGTTGTAATCTACCCCACCCTGCTAGCTAGCTATGATGGTGTTGAGTTGGTGTGGTTGTAATCTACCCCACCCGGCTAGCTAGCTATGATAGTGTTGGTGTGGTTGTAATCTACCCCACCCTGCTAGCTAGCTATGGTGGAGTTGGTGTGGTTGTAATCTACCCCACCCTGCTAGCTAGCTATGATGGTGTGGTTGTAATCTACCCCACCCTGCTAGCTAGCTATGATGGTGTTGAGTTGGTGTGGTTGTAATCTACCCCACACTGCTAGCTAGCTATGATAGTGTTGGTGTGGTTGTAATCTACCCCACCCTGCTAGCTAGCTATGGTGGTGTTGGTGTGGTTGTAATCTACCCCACACTGCTAGCTAGCTATGATAGTGTTGGTGTGGTTGTAATCTACCCCACCCTGCTAGCTAGCTATGATAGTGTTGGTGTGGTTGTAATCTACCCCACCCTGCTAGCTAGCTATGGTGGTGTTGGTGTGGTTGTAATCTACCCCACCCTGCTAGCTAGCTATGGTGGTGTTGAGTTGGTGTGGTTGTAACGTTACAAGTCTCGTGGCTCTTCCAGTAACATTTGGGGGAGTGTTGATCTTTAAACAGTTCTTCAGCTTACCCAAACTCACAGTCACACTCAGTCACACTCAGTCACACTCACAGTCACAGTCACACTCACAGTCACACTCACAGTCACACTCACACTCACACTCAACTGATGGTAATGTTATTCATCACTCTATCGTCCCTTTACCCCTTTGATAAAGGCGTTAGCTACCATCACTAAACTACTGATATAACTACCTTTACTGCCTCTATTGATCCAAACCCATTCACAGCTGTTAGGAAGCGGCTCTCATGCTGTGTTGTCTTCTTATCTGCAGGAGTGGACAGCCACGGCAGACTTCACCCACCACGCCCACACTGCCTCAGTGTCTGCGGTGGCCACCAGCGAGAGGTACATCGCTACAGGAAGCAGAGACGAGACCATCCAGATCTACGACATGAAGAAGAGGATAGAACATGGAGCTCTGCTGCATCACGACGGTAAGAGATACGACATGGAGAAGAGGATAGGACATGGAGCTCTGCTGCAGCTCGGCGTCGGGTGTATTCATTAGTTGCACACTGTAGCAAAACGTTTAGCAATGGAAAACCGTTTACTCCAATCGGGGAAAAACGTTTTTGTAAGGGAAAGAGCATAGAAAATGGAACGTTGCTGCACCACGACGGTGAGTTCTGGAAAGCCACTTTTTGGAAATCAGTTTACTAATGTTCAGGGTTTTGAGAGCTGCAGAATCTCACCTGCTACAGCAACAATCGGGTCCCAATCCGAGAATCTTGAAGAAACCTCACTAATTGCATCATTGAACTATGACTGCAATGGCTACGTTTTGACTGTCTATTCCTTAGACGTACAGTATTGACAAGTCACTGACACGGTCAACAACATTATTGTGTGGTCCATGGTCTTTAGGCATGGCAAGCCACTGATATCGGTCAAAACATTGTCCCCAAGTGTCACGGCTGCTGTAAGAAGACTTAAGTACCCCTGACCCCCAGGTTTCCTTGTTTTAATCGTTGTTCAGGTACCATTTCCTGTCTGGAGTTCTATGGCTCCTCCCACCTGCTGAGTGGAGGACAGGATGGGCTGCTATGTGTTTGGGGCACCAAGAAGTGGGAGTGTCTTAAATCCATCAGAGCACACAAGTAAGTTGTCACTCTCTCAGAAATTATTAGGGTTGCAAAATTCCGGTAACTTTCCAAAATTATATATATATATTATATTTCAAGTCCATCAGAGCTCACAAGTTGCTGAGACATGACGTATGTGTGTATCTGAGGTTGTTGGATAAAAACAGTCTCGTATGGATCAATAGTCTTCTTCTTGACCCTGGAGAGCTATTGGGTGGGTTCAGGTTTTTGTTCCACCCCAGCACTAACGTACCTGTTTTATTTATTCTCCTCAGGGGTCATGTTACGTCACTGTCCGTCCATCCCTCAGGGAAACTGGCCCTGACTGTCGGCACAGACAAGACACTCCGGTTGGCTTTCTGTTTTGAGTACATTTTGGTTCTCAGTTCTTGTTGTAGGTGTTCAAAACATTCTCTTGCAACTAAGTTGACTGACACTTTTGTTGTTGCAGAACGTGGAATCTAATCGACGGAAGATCAGCATTCATCAAAAACATAAAACAGAGTAAGTTTATCACTCTGACCATTATGTACCATTACACATGCTTCAGTACCTCCCGAGTGGGGCAGTGGTCTAAGGCACTGTATCGCAGTGCTAGCTGTGCCACTAGAGATCCTGGTTCGAATCCAGGCTCTGTCGCAGCCGGCCGCGACCGGGAGACCCATGGGGCGGCGCACAATTGGCCCAGGGTAGGGGAGGGAATGGCCGGCAGGGATGTAGCTCAGTTGGTAGAGCATGGCGTTTGCAACGCCAGGGTTGTGGGTTCGATTCCCACGGGGGGCCAGTATGAAAAATAAAAAAATAATGTATGCACTCACTAACTGTAAGTCTGCTAAACGACTAAAATGTATTTGTAAAATAATAATGTCAATTTCTCTCTCTACCTTTCTCTCCCCTAGATGCGGTGATAGTGAAGTGGTCTCCTGAGGGGGATAAGTACGTGGTAGTGATCAGCGACAAGGTGGACGTTTATAACCTGGAAACAGCTACTCTGGCATCAACCATCATCAACCCCAAGAGGATCTCATCCATCAAGTTCCTCACTGTGAGTTATATCAAGAATGGTATAGTTCTGGGCTTTTTAAAGGGTAATAATCACCCATATTTAGTTTAGAGTGATCAACACAACGGTGTGCATATAAAGAGTTAGCTTAGAACACATGCGTCTATTTGTGACCGTCAAGGTGCAGGTTAATGGTGGTCACTAGGCTTTATGCATAAAACTACACACTGCACAAAAGCGCAGTAGAACACATACACGAAGAACCGTAAAGAACACAGATGGATGAATATGAAATGTGAGAAGGGAAACAACCTTTATCCACCTGCAAGTAGCGGTTCATTTTTTTGTTGTCCCTTTTTGTATGGAGTAAGTGAGGTGGAAATGGTTTGTTTGTCGTCAGAATTCCATCCTGGCCATAGCGGGGGACGACGAGACAGTCCGGCTGTGTGACATCAACACTCAGAAGGTGCTCTGTGAGTTTGAGGCTCATGAAACCAGGTACGTTGAATAATTGCTATGGTCTCACTCCTTCCCCTGCTATAATCAATATTTAGTATATAAACATACATTGTATGGTGATATAATTCTTGGATGTTTGTTGTGAAAAGTTTGGAAGAAGAATATTGTCTCACTTCTCTCTCTCTCTTTTTAGGGTGAAATCAGTGGACAGTTTCATCACGGAGGACTTCTGTGTTCTGGTGACTGCGTCAAACGATGGCTTCATCAAAATGTGGAAACTTAACCTTGAGGTATGTACCACCTGTCCTCGGCTTTCATTCGCTGTGGCCCTCAAGGGCCTGCATAAAAACAAAACATTTAACCTTTATTTAACTAGGCAAGTCGGTTAAGAACAAATTCTTATTTACAATGACGGCCTAGCAGAAGGCCTCCTGCGGGGACGGGGGGCTGGGATTAAAAATAAATGACAAATCACACATCACGACAAGAGACACCACAACACTACATAAAGAGAGACCAAAGACAACAACATAGCATGGTAGCAACACCACATGACAACAACATGGTAGAAAAACAACATGGCAGCAGCACAAAACATGGTACAAACATTATTGGGCACAGACAACAGCACAAAGGGCAAGAAGGTAGAGACAACAATACATCACGCGAAGCAGCCACAGTTTACACTGTCCAGTTTGAGTGTTTTTTGCAGCTCGTTCCAGTCGCTAGCTGCAGCGAACTGAAAAGAGGAGCGACCCAGGGATGTGTGTGCTTTGGGGACCTTTAACAGAATGTGACTGGCAGAACGGGTGTTGTATGTGGAGGATGAGGGCTGCAGTAGGTATCTCAGATAGGGGGGAGTGAGGCCTAAGAGGGTTTTATAAATAAGCATCAACCAGTGGGTCTTGCGACGGGTATACAGAGATGACCAGTTTACAGAGGAGTATAGAGTGCAGTGATGTGTCCTATAAGGAGCATTGGGTGTTTGGAGTCATACCTTGTGGGATTGGTAATAATCTGAGAAAGATTTAGGGAGTCCCATTGCTTTAGGACTTGGTCAGGTGGTTTAAGCATGTCCCAGTTTAGGTCACCTAGCAGGACAGATTCAGACTTGGTGTAAGGGACCAGGAGAGAGCTTAGGGCAGGTAGGGTACAGGCCGGTGCTGATGGAGGACGATAACGCCCAGCAACAGTCAACAAAGAGCTATTTGAAAGTTTAATGCTTAAAACCGGCAAATCAAATTGTTTGGTGACCGACTTGGTGGAGACAACCGAGCCCTGAAGGTGTTCCTTGGTAAAGATTTCCACTCCACCACCTTTGGAAGATCTGTCTTGCCGAAGAAGGATATAACAGACTAAACATTGCTCACTCAGTTCCAGGTTGGAAGGTGTTTTCAGGTGTTTTCAGGTGTTTTCAGGTGTTTTCAGGTGTTTTCAGGTGTTTTCAGGTGTTTTCAGGTGTTTTCAGGTTTCTTGTGCTTCTTTTGCTGGTCGTTGGTTTGCCAGAGCATTTGCTGTATAGACCTTGGAAATAATAATCTTTGGTAGTAGGAATCCTTCCAGGTAATTTTGTAACATAATCAGGTTGTAGGTTTGGAGTTTTGATTTGTAGTGAATGTTATGTTGTGGAGGGTAGAATCCTGTATACAGTGGGGGAGAACAAGTATTTGATACACTGCCGATTTTGCAGGTTTTCCTACTTACAAAGCATGTAGAGGTCTGTAATTTTTTATCATAGGTACACTTCAACTGTGAGAGACGGAATCTGAAACAAAAATCCAGAAAATCACATTGTATGATTTTTAAGTCATTAATTTGCATTTTATTGCATGACATAAGTATTTGATCACCTACCAACCAGTAAGAATTCCGGCTCTCACAGACCTGTTACTTTTTCTTTAAGAAGCCCTCCTGTTCTCCACTCATTACCTGTATTAACTGCACCTGTTTGAACTCGTTACCTGTATAAAAGACACCTGTCCACACACTCAATCAAACAGACTCCAACCTCTCCACAATGGCCAAGACCAGAGAGCTGTGTAAGGACATCAGGGATACAATTGTAGACCTGCACAAGGCTGGGATGGGCTACAGGACAATAGGCAAGCAGCTTGGTGAGAAGGCAACAACTGTTGGCGCAATTATTAGAAAATGGAAGAAGTTCAAGATGACGGTCAATCACCCTCGGTCTGGGGCTCCATGCAAGCTCTCACCTCGTGGGGCATCAATGATCATGAGGAAGGTGAGGGATCAGCCCAGAACTACACGGCAGGACTTGGTCAATGACCTGAAGAGAGCTGGGACCACAGTCTCAAAGAAAACCATTAGTAACACACTACGCCGTCATGGATTAAAATCCTGCAGCGCACGCAAGGTCCCCCTGCTCAAGCCAGCGCATGTCCAGGCCCGTCTGAAGTTTGCCAATGACCATCTGGATGATCCAGAGGAGGAATGGGAGAAGGTCATGTGGTCTGATGAGACAAAAATAGAGCTTTTTGGTCTAAACTCCACTCGCCGTGTTTGGAGGGAAGAAGGATGAGTACAACCCCAAGATCACCATCCCAACCGTGAAGCATGGAGGTGGAAAAATCATTATTTGGGGATGCTTTTCTGCAAAAGGGACAGGACGACTGCACCGTATTGAGTGGAGGATGGATGGGGCCATGTATCGCGAGATCTTGGCCAACAACCTCCTTCCCTCAGCAAGAGCATTGAAGATGGGTTGTGGCTGGGTCTTCCAGCATGACAACGACCCAAAACACACAGCCAGGGCAACTAAGGAGTGGCTCCGTAAGAAGCATCTCAAGGTCCTGGAGTGGCCTAGCCAGTCTCCAGACCTGAACCCAATAGAAAATCTTTGGAGGGAGCTGAAAGTCCGTATTGCCCAGCGACAGCCCCGAAACCTGAAGGATCTGGAGAAGGTCTGTATGGAGGAGTGGGCCAAAATCCCTGCTGCAGTGTGTGCAAACCTGGTCAAGACCTACAGGAAACGTATGATCTCTGTAATTGCAAACAAAGGTTTCTGTACCAAATATTAAGTTCTGCTTTTCTGATGTATCAAATACTTATGTCATGCAATAAAATGCAAATGAATTACTTAAAAATCATACAATGTGATTTTCTGGATTTCTGTTTTAGATTCCGTCTCTCACTGTTGAAGTGTACCTATGATAAAAATTACAGACCTCTACATGCTTTGTAAGTAGGAAAACCTGCAAAATCGGCAGTGTATCAAATACTTGTTCTCCCCCACTGTATGTCCTTGCGGAAAAATCCAAGTTTATCCAACACTAAATCTATATTTTTGTGAAAACATGCTGAAAAATGCAGGAGCCCATCTGCTCATGACCTCTCTCTCTCTGCCCTTTCCAGAGTAGTTAGCATTTTTCATTTATTTAACCTTTATTTAGGAAGGGATGTCCCATTGAGACCAAGGTGTCTTCCACGAGAGCCCTGCATGACAAGACCAAGCATTTACACACCATCTCTGCATGACAAGACCAAGCATTTACACACCATCTCTGTAGGACTAGAAAGGGTTTCCAGGGTTGAAGAACAGTAATGCTTCTCTAATGATGTCATCATTGTATTATTCATCAGTGATGTCATCGATGTTCATTGTTGTCTGTATTTGCTACTAGTCTAAGTAACCATGACAATTCCAGGAGTTGACATGAGATTTACATTTACGTCATTTAGCAGACGCTCTTATCCAGAGCGACTTACAGTTAGTGGTTTTACGACAGAGCCTGGATTCGAACCAGGATCTCTAGTGGCACAGCTAGCACTGCGATGCAGTGCCTTAGACCACTGCGCCACTCGGGAGACGAGTGATGGCACTAAATAAATACAGTCTCATCTCATCTCATGGTTGTCTGTTGTTGTTGTTCCAGTCCTTGGAGCCTCCAGTCCTCCTGGGGAAGGTGAATACCACAGCTCGGCTGACCTGTCTGGCTGTGTGGCAGCCCTCCAACCTACAGGAGCCTCCCCCGGAGATCAAAACAGAACCTACAACCTCTCGAGGTACTGTGTTCCTTCATTCGTAACAATATGCCATTTTTAGCATTTTATCCAAAGCGACTGTCATGCACGCATATCCTGGTCCTGGTGACCCAAAAGGGTATGCTAAGTACTCAAAGAGAAGTTTGGGACAACCTCTCAAAGTACTGGACTGTCTAATGATTTAATGCTGGAGGGACTGGGATATAGCCTGGGTACCAGTCTAATGATTTAATGCTGGAGGGACTGGGATATAGCCTGGGTACCAGTCTAATGATTTAATGCTGGAGGGACTGGGATATAGCCTGGGTACCAGTCTAATGATTTAATGCTAGAGGGACTGGGATATAGCCTGGGTACCAGTCTAATGATTTAATGCTGGAGGGACTGGGATATAGCCTGGGTACCAGTCTAATGATTTAATGCTGGAGGGACTGGGATATAGCCTGGGTACCAGTCTAATGATTTAATGCTGGAGGGACTGGGATATAGCCTGGGTACCAGTCTGTTAGATAACATTTCCTTCCTTGGTAGCTAAACAGACTGTTTACCCAGTAAGGATAATCGGTCCCCGGTTCAAATGTTCAAGATATGAGTGCATCGGTCTGCGGGACACCAAACCGACCCAAATGTAGCACGCATCGTTCAGGAAATCGATACAAACGTTACGAATCACCGGTTCACTCAGTTTTTGGGTTCTACTGGGTGGAGACCTGCTAGCCTGAATATGTCTTGGTTCTACTGGGTGGAGACCTGCTAGCTTAATATGTCTTGGTTCTACTGGGTGGAGACCTGCTAGCCTGAATATGTCTTGACTCCACTACCCAATTTTGAATGATGATAAATGAATTCTTGTGACTTATGTTTGTCTTGTATCACATCTGTTATAGTGTGTTGGACTAGATCTAATATGTGGAATGGCTGGATGAAACTCTGGACTAGAGAAACCCTCTTTAAATTTAAACATGAAGGTCTCTTTTATAGAAAGTGATGCGCGAACATATTTGAGTGCTTAAATGTATATTGTTCTGGCAGTATATATAGCATGAGAATATCATGTGATTTGTTTTCGGTCATCCCCAACAGACACCAAGGATGTTCTGGAGCTTGCAAAGAAGAAGAGGGTCAGGATCTCAACTGTAGAAGTGGTCCTAGAGGAAGACGGTTCACCCAAGAAGAAGAAGAAGAAAGATGGTGGGAAAAAAAAGCTGAAAACCTAATAAAAAAATATTTTTAATAGTATTTTCAACCTGGTCTCAGATCATTTTGTATTATTCTGTACGTAAATCAGAGACACTCCATTTAGTATGATATGTTACGTTTCGTACGGTATGTATTAATTTGTGGTTTCATGTTATGAATTTGCAATTTGGTTCAGGAGAAGGGTTGGCTAACATGCTAAGTAGTTGAAAAGTTGCTCAAGTTGTCCCCTGATGAGATTCGAACTCGTAACCTTTGGTTTGCTAGACGTTTTGCGTTATACGACCAACCACCCTGCTTTCGTTTTTTTTGCCTTAAGTAACCATCCCAAAACGTAACATATCATACGAATTTCAGTGTCCCGGATTTACAGGTACTATATTACGTCTAGTCTATGAGACCGGGCTGGTATTTTTGGTGTGGAGATTTTGTATAGAATGTGGTCTTCTAGAACAGGGTTTCCCAAACTCTGTCCTCGGGACCCCAAAGCGTACACATTTTAGTTTTTTTGCTAGCTGTGCCACTAGAGATCCTGGTTCGAGTCCAGGCTCTGTCGCAGCCGGCCGCGACCGGGTGACCCATGGGTCGGGCGCGCAATTGGTCCAACGTCGTCCAAGGTAGGGGAGGGTTTGGCCGGCAGGGATGTGGGTTCGTTTCCCACGGGGGGGCCAGTATGAAAAAAACAAAACACGTATGCATTCACTAACTGTAAGTCGCTCTGGATAAGAGCGTCTGCTAAATGACCTAAATGTACACAGCTGATTCAAATGATCAAAGCTTAGTGATTTAGTTTATTATTTCAATCAGCTGTGTAGTGCTAGGGCGAAAACCAAAACGTGCACCCCTTGGGGTCCCGAGCACCGAGTTTGGGAAACCCTGTTCTGGATTTATGTGACGATGACATTTGCCACTAGGAGGTGACAGACCTACTTTTATCAACAGCTTCTATGTCCTCCTCCTGTCAATTGTCATTGCATTATCTATGCATATTATCAAACTGATGGATGACAATGGACTCAATTATCAATCCAATTTTCCTATCAAAACATATCAATGAAAATAGATATAATAAAAATAGCTTAGTCTGTAGGGGAGTGGATGGTAGTCGCTGGAGTGTCTAAGAACAGGGATTGAGGGTATTGCCTTTTGACCTTTTTTATTTATTACTGAACAAAAATAAAGGCAACATGAAACAATTTGAAAGATTTTACTGAGTTACAGTTCATATAAGGACATCCAGTCAATTGAAAAATGTATTAGGCCCTAATCGATGGATTTCACATGACTGGGAATACAGATATGAATCTGTTGGTCACAGATACGTTGACAAAAAAAAGGTTTTGGCGTGGATCAGAAAACCAGTCCATATCTCGTGTGACTACAATTTGCCTCATGCAGCGCAACGCATCTCCTTCGCATAGAGTTCATCAGGCTGTTAATTGTGGCCTGTGGAACGTTTTCCCACTCCTCTTCTATTACATTTTAGTCATTTAGCAGACGCTCTTATCCAGAGCGACTTACAGTTAGTGAGTGCATAAATGTTTCATACTGGCCCCCCGTGGGAATCGAACCCACAACCCTGGCGTTGCAAGCGCCATGCTCTACCACCTGAGGAGGCCAGGAACTGGAACGCGCTGTCGTACACGTCGATCCAGAGCATCCCAAACATGCTCAATGGGTGACATGTCTGGTGGGTATGTAGGCCGTGGAAGAACTGGGACATTTTCAGCTTCCAGGAATTGTGTACAGGTGCTTGCGACATGGGGCTGTGCATTATCATGCTGAAACATGAGGTGATGGCGGTTGGATAAACGGCACGACGATGGGCCTCAGGATCTCGTCACGGTATCGCTGTGCATTCAAATTCAAATGCCATTGATAAAATGCAATTGTGTTTGTTGTCTGTAGCTTACGCCTGCCCATACCATAACCCCACTGCCACCATGGGGCTGTCTGACAATGTTGACATCAGCAAAATCGCTCGCCCACACGAGCGGTTGTGAGGCTGGTTGAACGTACTGCCAAATTCTCTAAAATGACGTTGGAGGCGGCTTATGGTAGAGAAATGAACAATACGTTCTACTAGCAACAGCTCTGGTGGACATTCCTGCAGTCAGCATGCCAATTGGAACATTTGAGACAAATAAGCTTTTTGTGAGTATGGAACATTTCTAGAGTCTTATTTCAGCTCATGAAACATGGGACCAACACTTTCAAATCAAATCAAATCAAATTTTATTGGTCACATGCGCCGAATACAACAGGTGCAGACATTACAGTGAAACGCTTACTTACAGCCCTTAACCAACAGTGCATTTATTTTTAACAAAAAAAGTAAAAATAAAACAACAAAAAAAAGTGTTGAGGAAAAAAAAGAGCAGAAGTAAAATAAAGTGACAGTAGGGAGGCTATATATACAGGGGGGGTACCGGTGCAGAGTCAAGCTGTTGAGAAGTCTTTTGGACCTAGACTTGGCACTCCGGTACCGCTTGCCGTGCGGTAGCAGAGAGAACAGTCTATGACTAGGGTGGCTGGAGTCTTTGACAATTTTGAGGGCCTTCCTCTGACACCGCCTGGTATAGAGGTCCTGGATGGCAGGAAGCTTGGCCCCAGTGATGTACTGGGCCGTACGCACTACCCTCTGTAGTGCCTTGCGGTCGGAGGCCAAGCAGTTGCCATACCAGGCGGTGATGCAACCAGTCAGGATGCTCTCGATGGTGCAGCTGTAGAATTTTTTGAGGATCTGAGGACCCATGCCAAATCTTTTCAGTCTCCTGAGGGGGAATAGGCTTTGTGGTGGCCTCTTCACGACTGTCTTGGTGTGTTTATATTTTTGCTCAATATAGAGCAAGTTTGTTGATCTTTTGTAGGCTTGAAATGTCAGCTGACGGGTGATGAAAGATGGTTATGTCTAGGTACAAACAGAAACACGATGTTAATATAACACCGAGGCACATGGTAAATAAAGGGTAAACAAACTGAAATACTCACAGTGTTGCACAATTAGCAAATAAGGGAAGTGCACTTGTATGCACAACAATCAAACGATCAAAATCTACATAACAATACGAACAAAATACCTTGGCACCACACTCATGCAATACAGTCAATAATGCAATTCTCTAGTGGACCATGCTGGTTTTGGTTGAAAAAAAAAACCTTCTCCGTTGGGGTTTTATGGCGGTGTGCATACTAGTATTAGGTGCATTACCGCCACCTACTGGACTGGAGTGTGATGAGACTATGGAGGTGTTCTAGATTCTGTACTGTAGTCTACATGAATGGAGGAAGGAAATTATTGCTGAGTGAATTACGGTTTGTTCTGGACGGGTTTTGAGTGAATTGGGGAGGGTGAAGCTTATTCCCAGGGATCATTCTTCTAGCCTTTTGATGTTCATAGCTTTGACAGTGAAGGAGGACGTGACCTGTAGTTTCTGCTGCTGGACAGCTAGGACATTAACCTGTCGTGTTTTCCTATCTCATGGAGAGAGTGGTTGAGGCCATTGTGTCCTATTCGCAGACGGGTGATTATGGTTTCTGATCGTCTTGAAAGTCCTTTGTGGTTATTGCTGATTGAAACCAGCGGAGTATACACATCTTCCTTTTACCCCTTTCTGTCCTTTTGCCATTTGTCAGTGATTTTGATTTCCGAGGAGTAACTTAATTTCAGATTTTTCACATTGGAACTATGATGTCATGTAGGGGTCCTTTTGGCCGCTTCATCTGCCACCTGGTTCTCAGGAACCCCCACGTGAGCTGGGACCCAAAGAAAGTTGACCGTTATGGCTTGGTGTTGAATCCTGAGAAGTGCCTGTAAGATGTTGAATACTAGGTCTGGTCTGATAATAGGTCTGGCCTAATACTAGGTCTGGCCTAATACTAGGTCTGGCCTAATACTAGGTCTGGCCTAATACTAGGTCTGGCTGATACTGGTCTGGCCTGATACTAGGTCTGGCCTGATACTAGGTCTGGCCTAATCTAGGTCTGGCCTGATACTAGGTCTGGCCTAATACTAGTCTGGCCTAATACTAGGTCTGGCCTGAACTAGGTCTGGCCTGATACTAGGTCTGGGCCTGATACTAGGTTCTGGCCTAATACTAGTCTGGCCTAGACTAGTCTGGCCTGATACTAGGTCTGGCCTGATACTAGGTCTGGCCTGATACTAGGTCTGGCCTGATACTAGGTCTGGCCTGATACTAGGTCTGGCCTGATACTAGGTCTGGCCTGATACTAGGTCTGGCCTAATACTAGGTCTGGCCTGATACTAGGTCTGGCCTGATACTAGGTCTGGCCTAATACTAGGTCTGGCCTGATACTAGGTCTGGCCTGATACTAGGTCTGGCGTAATACTAGGTCCTGATGAGTGGGTCTGGTGGTCTGTTCTCTTCTATCCAAGGTGAAGATACAGACCATGACTTCACAGGTGATTTGTTTTGTCTTGAACTGTATGTTTTCAATTTTTTTTTAATATCACATGCACAAGTACAGTGAGATGTCTTCCTGGGACAGCGAAGGCTGCTGAGACGTGTCCTGTCACTGGGTCCTTGGAGCCGTCTGTGTAAATATGTGTTTGCGACGTGGTATTGTGACTTTACATACCCTGCTGTCATTAGTCCTTTATCCTCTCCTTCCTGATCATCTCCAGTAGATCAAATCTACTATTGGGGGTGTCGAGCTAGGGCTGCACCAATGGTAAGGGTACAGTTGGTTCCACATAGGTCGACTTCACCCCTAGGTCCTGGACCCATTTAAAAAAATCTTCCATCCAAAGGCTTCATTTTTTTTGGGGGGGGGGTTGAGTATTCCCAGCAATCCTCAAGGATGGACTTCCCCGTGTGAGTGGAGGCGTGTCCTTTAAGGGAAGCCCAGTAAGCAATAGAGGGGTTTTGTCTTCTTAGTTTTAAGGGCATCTCTTTCCAATCGTAGGGAGGATATGGGGAATTATTTAAATGCCCCACAGCTTAGTCTTAGGGTGGCAGCTTGGATAACGTCCAACTTTTGTAATATCCCGCTGAGCCATAGGCCATGCATCCATAGACCATACATCCATAGGCCATACATCCATAGACCATACATCCATAGGCCATACATCCATAGACCATACATCCATAGACCATACATCCATAGGCCATAGGCCATACATCCATAGGCCATACATCCATAGGCCATAGGCCATACATCCATAGGCCATACATCCATAGGCCATGCATCCATAGGCCATGCATCCATAGGCCATACATCCATAGACCATACATCCATAGACCATACATCCATAGACCATACATCCATAGGCCATACATCCATAGGCCATACATCCATAGGCCATACATCCATAGACCATACATCTATAGACCATACAGCCATAGACCATACATCCATAGACCATACATCCATAGACCATACATCCATAGACCATACAGCCATAGACCATGCATCCATAGGCCATACATCCATAGACCATACAGCCATAGACCATACATCCATAGACCATACATCCATACATCCATAGGCCATGCATCCATAGACCATACATCCATAGGCCATGCATCCATAGACCATACATCCATAGGCCATACATCCATAGACCATGCATCCATAGACCATACATCCATAGGCCATAGGCCATACATCCATAGGCCATACATCCATAGGCCATACATCCATAGACCATACATCCATAGGCCATACATCCATAGGCCATACATCCATAGGCCATAGACCATACATCCATAGGCCATACATCCATAGGCCATACATCCATAGACCATACATCCATAGGCCATACATCCATAGGCCATGCATCCATAGACCATACATCCATAGACCATACATCCATAGGCCATACATCCATAGGCCATACATCCATAGACCATACATCCATAGGCCATACATCCATAGACCATACATCCATAGGCCATGCATCCATAGGCCATGCATCCATAGACCATACATCCATAGACCATACATCCATAGACCATACATCCATAGGCCATACATCCATAGGCCATACATCCATAGACCATACATCCATAGGCCATACATCCATAGACCATACATCCATAGGCCATGCATCCATAGGCCATGCATCCATAGACCATACATCCATAGTCAAATTTGGATCTGATGAGAGCGAAATAGACACAATGCGGATAACCCCCCATGAGTACCTGGTTAGACATCTCATTACCCCCCATGAGTACCCGGTTAGACATCTCATTACCCCCCATGAGTACCTGGTTAGACATCTCATTACCCCCCATGAGTACCTGGTTAGACATCTCATTACCCCCCATGAGTACCTGGTTAGACATCTCATTACCCCCCATGAGTACCTGGTTAGACATCTCATTGCCCCCCATGAGTACCTGGTTAGACATCTCATTGCCCCCCATGAGTACCTGGTTAGACATATCAAATCAAATCAAATCAAATTGTATTGGCCACATGCGCCGAATACAACAGGTGCAGACATTACAGTGAAATGCTTACTTACAGCCCTTAACCAACAGTGCATTTATTTTAAACAAAAAAAGTAAAAATAAAACAACAACAAAAAAAAGTGTTGAGAAAAAAAAGAGCAGAAGTAAAATAAAGTGACAGTAGGGAGGCTATATATACAGGGGGGTACCGTTGCAGAGTCAATGTGCGGGGGCACCGGCTAGTTGAGGTAGTTGAGGTAATATGTACATGTGGGTAGATTTAAAGTGACTATGCATAAATACTTAACAGAGTAGCAGCAGCGTAAAAAGGATGGGGTGGGGGGGGCAGTGCAAATAGTCCGGGTAGCCATGATTAGCTGTTCAGGAGTCTTATGGCTTGGGGGTAGAAGCTGTTGAGAAGTCATGAGTACCTGGTTAGACATCTCATTACCCCCCGTGAGTACCTGGTTAGACATCTCATTGCCCCCCATGAGTACCTGGTTAGACATATAATTGCCCCCCCATGAGTACCTGGTTAGACATCTCATTGCCCCCCATGAGTACCTGGTTAGACATCTCATTGCCCCCCATGAGTACCTGGTTAGACATCTCATTGCCCCCCATGAGTACCCGGTTAGACATCTCATTACCCCCCATGAGTACCTGGTTAGACATCTCATTGCCCTCATGAGTACCTGGTTAGACACATCTCATTACCCCCCATGAGTACCTGGTTAGACATCTCATTACCCCCCATGATACCTGGTTAGACATCTCATTGCCCCCCATGAGTACCTGGTTAGACATCTCATTACCCCCCCATGAGTACCCGGTTAGACATCTCATTGCCCCCCATGAGTACCCGGTTAGACATCTCATTACCCCCCCATGAGTACCCGGTTAGACATCTCATTACCCCCCATGAGTACCCGGTTAGACATCTCATTGCCCCCCATGAGTACCCGGTTAGACATCTCATTGCCCCCCATGAGTACCTGGTTAGACATCTCATTACCCCCCATGAGTACCTGGTTAGACATCTCATTGCCCCCCATGAGTACCTGGTTAGACATCTCATTACCCCCCCATGAGTACCCCCGGTTAGACATCTCATTACCCCCCCATGAGTACCCGGTTAGACATCTCATTGCCCCCCATGAGTACCTGGTTAGACATCTCATTACCCCCCCATGAGTACCCCGGTAGACATCTCATTACCCCCCATGAGTACCTGGTTAGACATCTCATTACCCCCCCATGAGTACCTGGTTAGACATCTCATTACCCCCCCATGAGTACCTGGTTAGACATCTCATTACCCCCCATGAGTACCCCGGTTAGACATCTCATTACCCCCCATGAGTACCTGGTTAGACATCTCATTGCCCTCATGTGCACCCGGTTAGTGGCCGCTCTAACAATGAAAATAAATGTCTTCAAACATGGAAGGCAGTTGGGAGGAGGCAAGATCAGGTGGGAGCATTCTAGCCAATGAAAGGGCAGATAGGGGCGTGAACAACAGGCACAACTCCGATATAAAGTGTTCTTTCTCAAAGTTGCCGGGATGTCACGTGACCTGCATATATCAATACACTCCTAACAACCTAATTATTACGAAACTTCTATTCGATCAAATAAGCCAAATGTAGCAAATAAGCCATACATTGTTTTGTTAACCAAATTCTACACTTATTGACCTCCATACAAAAACTCCTCGCTTGGTTAGCTAAAACAACGCCACCTGCTGGAGAAGACAGGTTTTTGGGCCCATGCTTATCCGTCTAGCTTCGCCTCTACCTCTCTGGGAAAGTTACATCTGTGAAAATCACGAGAAGTGGACTTGTTTAGATTTTAAAAAATGTATCTGTTGATCAGAAGCAACTTGTGTTGGATCTCACGCAAACTGATGGATATAATGTTTCGTACTTTGATTTACGAAGCAGCGCACCTGTCAAACGAGCCATTTCTGCAGCAGCGGAAGAATTCAACATTGCTCTACTGAAGAAGATTCATGGAGCGGTCGATGCGTGTAGAATGAATCGCATGGTAAATTACAGGAAGTAGAAGAGTTCTCGTCTTTTCCTGTGTTTTGAGATGTTTCTATCTCTATCCGAGTGCAGCTGGGATTTGTCAACTACCCTTCCAGCGCGTTTTTCCCCAGACCTTTGCAACGTTACGTCGGCTACCCGCTGTAAAATGTGTGGACATGTATGAAGTGTGTGCTGACGGGAGTCATATAGTCATATAGTAAAGTTGACATTTGTTTCTGCAGCTGAATGATTTCTGGATTTAAATATTTATCATCCGAGGAGCTACATAGAGTTCTGTCTGCTGCGGTCCCACCCTCGCAGGCCCCTGAGCATGAACGGGGAGTTGTAGAGTTTTTGAATGACTTAAGGAGTGGGATGTTTTATTACGTTTTTTTGGTAATACATGTGGATTAATGTTTTTTCCCCCTTCTCCGTAATGGAATGGACCTTTTTTTTTTTTTTTTTTCCACCTCCGTCCAGTCGGTGGCGGCAATACAACAGTAGTTGTGGTATGCCGTACAATTTCAGAGAAGATGAAGAATCTCAAAGTTTTGGCACTTTTATTTTGAAATCCCATAACACTTCCGGGACTGGAAAAGCGAAATTCGAATTGTAGTTGAATAAAGGTTTACCGTGAGTTTTGACAACACCTTTCCTTATTAGTTTTAGACTAGACGTGACAATGTCTCAAGATTGGATTGGTTATAGCTATGCTGCATTGGTCTCGGCAGGAGGACTCATGGGCTATGTAAAAGCAGGTACGGACCATTACACACTTCCAAATGTTTGTTGACTTTACCAAGTAGTTATTTTAAAGTCAGCTGTCAAGAAATATTGATAGAATTGTGCATGGAAGTAGTTATTCTTCAACATGCTGTGTGATTTGTTCCCAAACCAGGAAGTGTAACTTCACTGGTTGCAGGACTTTTCTTTGGGTTTCTAGCCGGAGTTGGTGCCTACCTGATGTCTCAGAATCCTAAGGATGTCTGGCTTTCTCTAGGTGAGTGGGCCAAAACTTTCGCTTGTTATCAATAACACATCCACGACATGTCCTACACGTAGGCTAGTTGATGTTGGTGAGTGCTCAAACATCTACACTGCGCTAACATTTCTTCTCAATGTGTAAATAGGTACCTCAGGAACACTGGCCATTGTCATGGGAATGAGGTTTCTAAACTCCTGGAAGTTCATGCCAGCTGGTCTGATGGCAATAGCAAGGTACTGTGGATGGGGCATCATGTCTCATTAAGGCTTCTGTTAGTAAACCATGGAATAGCTTAACCTCTTTTAGGATCTGAGAGTGAAATACTTACACACTCGTCTCTAACATGTAGACTCAGCTTTCCCAAACAGTCCCATTACAAGTCAGAATGTTGAACAAACTTAATTTCAACTTACTTTACCTGTTGTCCGCCGATTTTATCCCTATGTCGGAGGTAATCTGATACAAAATATCCACAGGGAAGTGTTAAACTGTTTTTTAAAATGTTCAATACTGATGCAATTCGCATGTGACAAACACTTGCACAATATGGCCGAGACTAACCAAACCACAGACCGAAAGGGAAACAATTCCTGCTGTTTGCGAGGAAACGTGCATCGGTGGACTACTTTGGTTACATTCGGCTATTGTTTACATATTGTGCATCGCATGCAATGTGTCAAGAGATTGAAAATACAAGCAACAGAACCTACTGGTGAGCTCAAAACATCACTTTCCTGTGGATACCCTATCTCCACCTCCTATCATCAAAAGGACCAACAGCATGTACAACCGGTAAAGTAAATGTAAATATATTTGTATTCAACATTCTGGTTGTAGCGACTATTGTGTCTTTTTTTTAGGGCGACTTCGGTCAGACTGAAAATCCATGGAGTAACCATGGTAACAGTCTGATGTTTAGGCAAGATGATCGTTTTTATTTTTATTTTTTATTATTGAATTAGGTCTGTTAATGCTAGGTTGGAACAAAAGCTTGCAACCACACTGGCCCTCTGTGGATAAAATAGATTGGCCACCCCCTGGTGGAATGGGACGCTATGACAGGTAGTGGGAATGGTGATAGCCCCGCCCCCACCATGGCAGACAGGTATGAGGGAATTATAATAGCCCCACCCCCTACCATGGCAGACAGGTATGAGGGAATTATAATAGCCCCGCCCCCACCATGGCAGACAGGTACATTTACATTTACGTCATTTAGCAGACGCTCTTATCCAGAGCGACTTACAAATAGATAGAGGGACTGGTGATAGCCCCGCCCCCTACCATGGCAGACAGGTGGAGGGACTGGTGATAGCCCCGCCCCCACCATGGCAGACAGGTGGAGGGACTGGTGATAGCCCCGCCCCCACCATGGCAGACAGGTAGAGGGACTGGTAATAGCCCCGCCCCCACCATGGCAGACAGGTAGAGGGACTGGTAATAGCCCCACTGATAATAGCCCCACTGGTAATAGCCCCACTGGTAATAGCCCCACTGGTAATAGCCCCACTGGTAATAGCCCCACTGGTAATAGCCCCACTGGTAATAGCCCCACTGGTAATAGCCCCACTGGTAATAGCTTCCCCGTGTCAAACATTCAATGTTTGTAAATGAGCTGACTGTGCCTACGTAAACAGGAAATGCAGTGCTATTTTCCAACGAATCCCATAACAAAATGTTCCTATTTTTTTTCTAGTATACTGATGCTGGGGAAGACTGCAATGGGAATGTTCAAGAGACCAAATTATTCATAAATGTGAAGAATATAGGAATTCCACCGTTTTATATTCAGTGTTTGTGGTTTATATATATACTTTTATTTGATATCCAAATGTATATTATTATCATTGCAAAGAAACATGTACAATTGAAACCTTTCAAGACAAGCATATAATGTATGAAAATATCAAATCAAAATATCGATATTCAGCGAGGTTTGTTTAATTTGAAGCTTACATGTGTGGCCGGGGAATGCTTTACTGTCTTTCTGTGAAAATGTACAGCGTTTTAAATAATGTATCATTTTAAAACATTTAACACGTACATGACTATAAATCTAAATCAGAGTGAAGATGCAAAACCAGTTTTACTCCTCATGACAGCTAGGAAAACACTAATAAGGACTTAACCACGCTAGATGTTCAAGAAATGTTCAGACCAAGCTATTTTGTACTTTTTCCTGAATAAAAAAATATATTTGATATACAGACAAATGTTATCTTCCACAAATAAAGTATGGATATCTTGAACTTATTGGCTGCTTTAGTAGTAAAATAATATTTTTTTGAAAAAGAATAATCATGTAATTGAAGGTAATTCTGGAGAATTGTACAGTACACTGGCTGGAACGATGCTAGCGACATGACAACGGTTCACACATCGCAGAATAGTGGGTCTCTCCTGAGATGTGTGCAAACCTGGTGGCCAACTACAAGAAATGTCTAAACTCTGTGATTGCCAACAAGGGTTTTGCCACCAAGTACTAAATCATGTTTTGCAGAGGGGGTCAAATACTTATTTCCCTCATTAAAATGCAAATCAATTTATAACATTTTTGACATGTGTTTTTCAGGATTTTTTAGTTTTTATTCTGTCTCTCACTGTTCAAATAAACCTACCATTAAAATTATAGACTGATCATGTCTTTGTCAGTGGGCAAATGTACAAAATCAGCAGGGGATCAAATACTTTTTTCCCTCACTGTAAATGACTAAAATGTAATGTAAATGTAGTGTGAAAGACAGAGTTGGCGTCCCAAATGACACCCTATTCCCTATATAGTGCACTACTTTTGACCAGAGCCACTATAGGGAATTTGTTACCATGTAGGACACAACCAGAGACTCAGGCTACAGACTGCTGTTTACGTCCACAGCAAGAACACGGTCCCTCTTCTCTCTTGGGTTTCAATAGTGAAAACACAGTTCCGACTGTTCTAATACCCTCCAGGGTTGGAGACAATTCCAATCAGTTCAGGAAGTACACTGAAATTCCAATTCTCTCCAATGCTTTTCAAATATGAACATGTAGAATTGGAATTTGGTTTACTTTCTGAATTGAAATGGAATTGACTCCAGTCTTGATACCCACACTAGCATCCTACCACTCAGTCTTTATACCCACACTAGCATCCTACCACTCAGTCTTTATACCCACACTAGCATCCTACCACTCAGTCTTTATACCCACACTAGCATCCTACCACTGTCTTATACCCACACTAGCATCCTACCACTCAGTCTTTATACCCACACTAGCATCCTACCACTCAGTCTTTATACCCACACTAGCATCCTACCACTCAGTCTTTATACCCACACTAGCATCCTACCAATCAGTCTTTATACCCACACTAGCATCCTACCACTCAGTCTTTATACCCACACTAGCATCCTACCACTCAGTCTTTTATACCCACACTAGCATCCTACCATCAGTCTTTATACCCACACTAAGAGCATCCTACCACTCAGTCTTTATACCCCACACTAGCATCCTACCAATCAGTCTTTATACCCAACACTAGCATCCTACCACTCAGTCTTTATAACCCACACTAGCATCCTACCACTCAGTCTTTATACCCACACGAGCATCCTACCAATCAGTCTTTATACCCACACTAGTCATCCTACCACTCAGTCTTTATACCCACACTAACATCCTAACCACTCAGTCTTTATACCCACACTAGCAATCCTACCACTCAGTCTTTATACCCACACTAGCATCCTACCACTCAGTCTTTATAACCCACACTAGCATCCTACCAACTCCAGTCTTTATACCCACACTAGCATCCTGACCAATCAGTCCTTTATACCCACACTAGCATCCTACCACTCGTCTTTATACCACCACTAACATCCTACCACTCAGTCTTTATACCCCACACTAGCATCCTACCACTCAGTCTTTATACACCCACATACATCCTTTCCACTCATCTTTTTACCCACATAGCATCCTACCACTAGTCTTTTTTCCACCTAGCATCCTACCACTCATTTTGATACCAAAACCCAGCATCCTACCACAGTCTTTTTAAACCCCAAGCACCACCCCTGTCTTTTACCCCCTACTCCTACCCTCAGTTTTTAACCCAATAGCTCCTCCACCTCTTTAATTACCCACACTAACCCCCACTCATCTTTATACCCCCCACTAGCATCCTACCACTCATCTTTACCCCACTAATCCTACCCCCCCAGTCTTTAACCCACACAGCATCCTACCAAAACAGTTTTTTTAACCCCATAGATCCCACCACTCATCTTTATACCCCACTAGCATCCTAAAAAACCAGTCTTTATACCCCCCAGCATCCACCACTCATCTTTTTTACCCACCTACATCCTACCCCTCAGCTTTAACCCCCCCTAGCACCACCCCCAGTTTTACCCCCACTAGCATCCACTATTAATAAAGCCATGTATGTGTAGTCATGCATTGTGGTTTGCTAGTGTGGATATTGGAACACATCCATAATGGGCTCAGCCATACGACTAAGAAGAGTATGTACGTAGGCTGTATCCCAAATTGCACCCTATTCCCCACATAGTGCACTACAGTCGTGGTCAAAAGTTTTGAGAATTACACAAATATTAATTTTCACAAAGTCTGCTGCCTCAGTTTTGATGATGTCAATTTGCATATACTCCAGAATGTCATGAAGAGTGATCAGATGAATTGCAATTAATTGCAAAGTCCCTCTTTGCCATGAAAATGAACTTAATCCCCAAAAAACATTTCCACTGCATTTCAGCCCTGCCACAAAAGGACCAGCTGCCATCATGTCAGTGATTCTCTCGTTAACACAGGTGAGAGTGTTGACGAGGACAAGGCTGGAGATCACTCTGTCATGCTGATTGAGTTAGAATAACAGACTGGAAGCTTTAAAAGGAGGGTGGTGCTTGAAATCATTGTTCTTCCTCTGTTAACCATGGTTACCTGCAAGGAAACATGTGCCATCATCATTGCTTTGCACAAAAAGGGCTTCACAGGCAAGGATATTGCTGCTAGTAAAATTGCACCTAAATCAACCATTTATCGGATCATCAAGAACTTCAAGGAGAGAGGTTCAATTGTTGTGAAGAAGGCTTCAGGGCGCCCAAGAAAGTCCAGCAAGCACCAGGACCGTCTCCTAAAGTTGATTCAGCTGCGGGATCGGGGCACCACCAGTGCAGAGCTTGCTCAGGAATGGCAGCAGGCAGGTGTGAGTGCATCTGCAC